CAGTTATTTGGGGATAAACTATTTCACTAGATTCACTAGATCTCACAAGGCAGGTGAGAGGCTGGAGGTGAGCTGGTGGGTGTGGGGATGAAGGTGAACTGGTGGGTGTGAGGATGGAGGTGAGCTGGTTGTTGAGGGGATGGAGGTGAGCTGGTGGGTTTGGGGATGGAAGCGAGCTGGTGGCCTCTCCCCAGCTGAGACATTTTCTGCTCCGTCATCCTGAGTTTTCTGCTCTGTTTTGCCAGGCAGTTCCGGGGAAGGCGGCTGTGCCTCACAGCGCGTTCCCCCAATGCCATCTAGTGTCTGCTCCGGCGGCCCCGGACAGTTATTTCAAGGCATCAGGGCTGATTTATTGCAGAAGGTTCTTTGAGGGCCAACAGGCTGCTCGGGCTGATTATTAACAGCAGCACGGATAACTACCCAGTGGACGCGCAGGCTGGGCTGGATTGTTTTTATCATCGCTCCCGTTTCGCACTGAAAGCCCACCCTGGCAGGATGGAGTGTGAGGATGCAGTGCCACCTCCGGGGTGAATAAAGTCTTTCAGCCTTCAGCCACTTGTCTTGTAGCCCGGGCATCACCTGAGGCTTAATCACTCAGAAAAGTGCTGTCATGTCCTATTGTCGCCGTATTGGGAGCGCGACCTCTTTCCCATTTAGCTGCCATCTCGAAATAATGCAGCTCGCCGGGGGACAGGCGTGACTCAGGAGACTCGTAATGGGATATAAAGACTCTGACCTGAGGTCGCCCATTCGGATGCTGCCAAGGTCAGCGGGAAGGGCAAAGATGTCATTTGCAGGGTGATTATTTGGCCAAACAACCCAAAACAGGCGTTAAGTGGCCCATCAGCGGCAGTCAGCAGGGCTGAGGGCTGGGTTGGACTCTGCTCCTGCTGGGAGAGCATCCAAGTCCCCCCAACCCCTCCTGCCTGAGTTTTGGGACTGTGTGGCTGCCCGGGGTCCCCTCCAGCTTAGGAGTTTGTCCTCCACATCCTTCCTTTGCCTCCATTGCAGGGCCATGGTCTGCACAGGCTGAGACACTCTTATTTCACCCTTTTTAGGGGCAAAGTGCCACGGCAGCATCTCTCCCCTGTGCCCCACTCATCTGCTCCCAGTGCAGAGAAAGATTTTACAGCCCTGGCCCTTGCTCTGCTCACCACCATCCACTGCCATGATTTAGGTCCCTCATAACCTCATCTCCATCCCCAGCCACTGCTGACCCTGTGAATTTATCTGCTCGGCACCAAACCACCTCATCGAGGCAGTTTGAGCATGTGATTAATTAAGGTCTCCCCAGGAATGAGGTTACTCCCTGCAGCCTCACGTAGAAATCCAAGATTAATGGGTGCTGGCCGTGTTAGACGGCCACGAGCAGGCTGGGCCAGGCAGGGTTTGCCTGCTCTCATCCAGACAGGCCTTGAACACAGGCTTTCCGTGGAAAATCTTCTAAACAATCCCATGAGATGGGGAATGCAGCTGGCAGCACGATGAGGAGCCACAGGGCTGGGGAAGGAGGGTGCCAGGGCTGAGCCAGTTTGACCCCAACATCCAGGAACGCTCCCACAGCTCTCCTGGCTGAGCCAACATCCAGCCTGCTCTGTGTGTTTGATTTTCACTAATCTGTTTGGGTTTTTTTAATTATCTGCAAACAAACAAGGTGCCTTCTTCTCGGAATAACCGTGGTGCTGGGGACAGGG